CCTGCCCCTTGTGGATAACCTACTCCATAACCTTGGCTCGGCCCGAGTTTTTTCCACTCTTGACCTCAGATGAGCATATCACCAACTGCCAATTGCTAGGGAAGATCAAGCGAAAACTGCTTTTGTTACACCTACTGGACTATATGACTTCCTTTGTACGCCCTATGGACTCCAGAACGCACGCTCAGCCTTTCAACGACTCGTGCAGCTCGCCTTGCGGGAGCTAGTAGGTAAGTTTGTACTGGTTTATATAGATGACATCATTATCTACTTACCTACATTCGACGCTCACCTCAACCACATCAGGCAGGTGTTCCACAAACTCAACACAGCCAACCTAAAGCTTAAAGCGAGTAAATGTTCATTCCTTCAGGATTCAGTACAATTTTTGGGACACACCATTTCGGACGGACGCATCACGCCCAACGCCGATAAGACGCAAGCTGTGTGCAAGATGGGAGCGCCTACCACTTCGAAACAGGTTCGCCAGTGCCTCGGAATGACGGGATTCTATAGAAAATTTATTTACCAGTACGCTGAGATTGTCCACCTACTGACACGCCTCACCATAAAGTCCAGCCCATTTGAATGGTCAGCAGAGGCTCAAACCGCGTTCCAGACACTCAAAACTTGTCTAACTACAGCACCAGTCTTAGCTCTTGCTGACTCACAGCGTCACTTCTTCCTCCACTGCGATGCCTCGGCCTATGCCATTGGTGCGGTCCTAACCCAAGAGGGCATGAATGGGCAGCAGCATGCCATCACCTACTTAGTACTTAAGTAAGAGGTTCACAACGGCTGAACTTAAATGGTCCATCATTGAAAAAGAGGCTTTTCCGATAATTTACTCCCTTATTAAACTACGACAGTTCCTAGTAGGCAGCCAATTCACAATATACAGCGATCATAAGCCATTAAAATTCCTCTTGACATTAAAGACAATGACAAATCTTCGTCTCCAACGCTGGGCATTGACCCTATCGCAGTATGATTGCCAAATACATTATAGAGAAGGACGCTGCAATCTGCAGGCAGACACATTGTCTCGCCTCGCCTCCGTACCAGCCCCTTGTACTGAGCTGGACATTGAAACCAATATTGATACAACCTGCTATCAGATCGGTGCGCCAGCCCCGACGCACTACATGCTTCAACCCCCGGCCATGGAAGCGCTAACTGCGGTTCCCACACATGATGCTGATGAGCACTTGCTCACGTCACATGCCGAGTTTAAACAGATGTAGGTAAGGGAAGTCGAGTTGTCGAATATCATTGCAATTCTACAGGCTCCCAACGTGCCCCTGCAGAAAGGCAAGCTAGTCACCGAGTTCTACATCACGGATGGGCTACTTTACCACCTCGCTGCAACAGGTTTCCCGGCTCCATCACGCGCACAAGTTGTCTTGCCTAGGACATTGGTCACACAGGTCATGGCGGAGTGCCACATGCATCTACATGTTGGACATTTGGGATTCGACAAAACTTATCGAAAAGTGGCAGAGAGATACTATTGGAGTCGAATGTATGCAGATATTCAGAAGTACATCAAGTATTGTGTTACTTGCAACTCTCGCAAGCTACAGCGCATGAGGCCCCACTTCTCAATGCACCAAACCTAACGGTCAGCATAGACGTCGGTGGACCACTACCGATCACGTACCAGGGCAACCGCTACATAGTCACCTTCGTTGACCTTTATTCTTCATACCCAGAAGCATATCCGGTGAGCAACAAGTCTGCTGCAACAATAGCTAACCTCATAGTCAACTGTTTTATCCCCACCTATGGCTGCCCCTTCAACCTACTCACTGATCGAGCTCTTGAATTCTGCAACATACTGATGGCTCGTATTTCTGCTGTATTCCGCATGCACCACATCAAGACAGCCCCTTTCCACCCGGCTAGCAACAGCATTTGTGAGCGTTTCCATCGATCTCTTAACGCCATGTTAGCGTGCTTTGTGCCTTGTGCTTTGTGCAAACTAGCACCTGTGCTTTTTGCCTATTGCAACGCGGAGCATGCCACCAGTGGGCACACGCCATTCTTCCTCACGTACGGACGCGATGCTGTCCTACCACTTGATACGTTGCTACAGCCACGTCACGTCAATTACGCAACCGACCCCATCTTCATTGCATTGGACAGGTTACACCAGGCATGCACAACTATTCGAGAGCGCACTCAGCGAGCTCGAAGGCGTAACAATGAGTTGTATGATCAACGTGCCAAAGAGCAGCTTTTCCAACCCGGTAATTCGGTTTACTGGCACAACCCAGTCGTACCCATTGGGGCTTCTCGTAAGTTCGCCAAATATTGGAAACCGTATTTCATCATCGTTCAACAACTGTCGTCAATCAAATTTAGGATTAAACATGTCTACACTGCTCGCACGTATGAAGTACATGTTGACAGTTTGCGCCCCGCCTTCCCGCAAAGAGCATAGGACGGCGTGGTAACTGACGCTGCAGCACCAGTGGAACAGGCTGTCGGCATACGAGTTCAACTCCCACGAGCAGCACACCTGGTACAACCTGCTTCGTGTACGGACGAAGACTCCGACGACGATGAAGAATCACAATCCGTGCTCTCACAATGGGAGGAAGACGACATTCTTCCGCTTGCAACCCTCCGACAGAAGCAGAAAATTGATTAACCACACTACAGTCTCATAACTAATACACTTAACGCTTTTCCTTGCAGTTTGCTTGGAGAACACTCCTGCCTACCATTCACACATCAGTTCCAAGCGACATGTACTGCCACACCGATTTGAACATTGCGTTTAATAGAATTGCCACTGCAGTCAGCGCCAGTGAACCTTTGTTGCCTCCCAATCCAAACCACGTTACTCAGTTCCGCACTCACTGCTCGGCTGTGTATAGATCAATGGGATCCACACTCATTATCATAATAGCCATAGCGGTTGTAACATGCAGCCTTAAAACGACAGCACCCAACTGCCAGTTTCTCTGCCGCTGCTTCTGCCATCGTCAGTCTTACGGGGTTTGCAACAATGAAGCTCGGGCTGGGATCCCACTGCAGCTGGTGGGGCTAGCACCACCAGCAGCTAACGTGGAGGCACCGGTCGAGGCACAAGCACACCCTGATGGGTTTGTGCATGTCATCCGTACAGCCTCTACCGTGATGACGCTTGTTTAAGGGGTGTCGCTATGAGTCGTTAGCAACATCTGGCATTTGAATTTATGGTCGACCGTGCGTAGAAACGTGTATTATTGCATCTCTATTATTGTATTGAGTAAACCGGCAAGATTGTTTGTTTCCTCGAGGAAGTAGTAACCCTGTATATGGGGGTGTATCTATTTATACGTGCGTAATTATTATAATTATATTTTACAGTAGCACCAATCGTCGTCACGCATAGCGATAGACAACGTCTTGGACATAGTACTAGGTTTGAGGGCATGCAACAGTCTAATCAGAGACACTAGCATTGCACGTACAGCAAGCATGTATCACTTTTATTTTTTTGACCCCGTCAATCATATCCATACAAATTACGACCCATCCGGGCCAGCCAGTCAAATTATTTTTCGCTCCAGCTCTTCACGCTTCATACTTCATCGTACTAACCGGTTCCTTCTCTTCCCCTCTATCTGTAAAGCGCCCACGATATACCCTCACCACCAGGACGCCCCATCCACATTGAAACACCAGCAATGGAAGACGAGACATTCGCTAGAGGCATCCGCACTGCAACTACCCGACTGGCCGTGGGATTAGGACGAGGACGCCCCATCCACTGCCATTACATATTCGGGCAGCATCCATTGCGACTTTCAACGCCGAACGAGAGGTTTATGCCCCGCACCCTAATTTTGAGCACCAGACCCATACAGCCGAAACCCTGTTCAGGGAACCAGGCTTGACAACCAGCTGACTCACCTTAAGAAGAAACACCAGAAGGACATCACTGCACTGGAGATGGCGCTTGCGCGTGCTAATGGTGCATGCGCAGAGGCCGAGAGGATGGCTGACCGCCAGCTTCACACGACCACCAACCTGCTGACCGCCATAGCCAGGTGCGCACAGTCGCTGCAGACAAACCTGGACCACGCCCGGACCGACTTCGACCAGGTTCTTCATGCGAAGAAGCACCTTGAGATTAAACTGCAGTATTCACACTCTCGCATCAACGAGATGACGATAGAGCGCAACGAAGCATTAGCCGTTAAATTGCAACTGCAGTACGAGCTGTCCATCGCCCGGAGCAAGCCACACTTCGCCTGCGAGGCCCTACAGGACACAATAACGTACCTTCCTTCTGCAGCCACAACACCAAACCACGAATAAGGACACCAGGACGCCAGGACACCAGGACGCCAGGACCCCAGGACGACCTGATTCGTCCCCGACCCGTCGGCTCGCCATCAACGCCGTCGGCCTCCTCATTATAACGTTAATCCGTTACTGCTATTCTACTCTCTTCTTTCTCCTTCCATATTACTCTGTTTATTACTAATTCTTCCTCGCCTCCCTTTCGGCCCTGAGTTTCTTTTTCTCCTACTCTTCTACCTACTCTCTCCCAGCCCTTCTTTTCATAAAGCGCCCAGAATCATGTCTTTCTGTTTTGCCTATTTGTTTACATATTTATTGTCGCGTTCAGGATACCACGAACTATATCTTTTAATGAACAGAACACATTTATTTAACAAGCCGCACAATAACACAACCAGCTCACCCAGACACAGATCATGAATCACAAGTCGGTTTCAGTTTTGATTCTAAGAACCTTCCCAGTTGGCTCTAACACTATATTACTCATATAGTACCGAATAGTATCGTGAAATATCTCTCCTTTTGAGATTGTCTGTTACTCAACTAAATGTAGAACATTTTTTTAAACATATCTGAGAATCGAATAATATATAATAATACAACCGTTTCTTTCTCCCTGGTCACGCAATACTTCACTATGCATTAACTCATTAAAATTTCCACAAAGCACTGGTTATTTTAACCACACTACTCGCTACCAATAATCATTTATCAATATCATCCCGAAAACGCAACGGCTTGTGCACTACCCGACCGCTTGTCCGTGGACCGGGTGAATGTGATTCCACATCCATCTCGTGTGCATTATCTTCTGGAGTCTCAGTTCGTTCACCAGAAGATGGCACTGTCTCTAACATTGGTGTATCCTGGGATTCCACAGGAACTGCCACATCATCACCAAGGCTGACCTTCAGATGTCTTCGATTTTGCCGCATTGTTGCCAAACCATCGGTAGTCACTATGTATGATCGTGGGGTAGTCGCTTGACTCACAACCACTCCCGTTGTTTTCCATCCCTTCTCCTTGTCCAACTTTACCCGTACCATGTCTCCAGGTCCGTGCTCTGGAAGAGATTTCACCGAATGACGTCTGTTGTAGAACCGACGGTAGCTCGTCTTAGCTCGGTCATCTGTCATTTTGACACTCTTAAGATCTGGCCATTAAGGATTTAAATTTTCAGTACGGGTTGGCAATTTGGTACGTATCTGCCGTCCCATCATCAGCTGTGCAGGACTTACACCCGTGGCTGCAATTGGTGTAGCTCTATAGCTCATTAATGCAGCAAACACATCCTCTTGGCGGAGGATTCGTTTCGCTATTTGCACTCCCCGCTCAGCCTCACCATTAGCCTGTGGAAAGTGTGGGCTAGATGTTGTGTGAATAAAATTGTATTCACTCTGGAGCAGCCGGAACTTCGTCGATGTGAACTGAGCCCCGTTATCAGAGACGACTTCCTCTGGGATGCCCCATCTTGCGAATAAGTTCTTGAGCTTACCAATAACCTGTTTCGACGTGATTTCTGGTACGTACATCACTTCCAAATACCTAGAGTAATAGTCGATGACGACCAAATATCTCTTTCCTTCCAACTCACACAAGTCCATCCCAACCTTTTGCCAGGGTCTAGCTGGTAATGGAGTAGTGATTAATGGTTTCTTCTGTTGTGTAGGACGGTTTGTCTGGCAAAACTGGCAAGTAGAAATCTCGTGTGCTATGTCTTGCCCTATTTCTTGCCACCACACAGACATTTTGGCATGTTCCCTACACTTAGTGATACCCTGGTGACCTTCATGGATCTTGCTCAGTATATCTCTTCTCCACTCGGTAGGGATTACCGTACGATTTCGATACAAGAGCAGATCCTTTGACACGGATAGTTCACTCCTAACCGAGTAGAATGCCTTCACATCCTCTGGTACCGACTGAATCCTGTTCGGCCACCCCATCTTTGTGAGTCCAATCGCCCTCTGTAGCGTTGCATCGCGTACTGTTGCTCTTGTTATACGCTCGAGTTTCTGACTGGATATCGACCTCTGTTCGTCAGCGCTGTCCACAAACTGCTGAACCTCTAGGACTGGTATCTGGCACCTCTATGCTTATTAGTGGTGCTCTTGACAGTGTGTCTGCTACCACCAGCTCCTTACCAGGTGCATATTCTGCTCTCGGAGCAAATTGCATGAGACGCATCAGCAACTTCTGGCACCTCAGCGGCATTTTGTCTATATCCTGTTTATTGACCAGTTGAACCAATGACTTATGGTCTGTCACCAGTTTAAACTCGCTCTGTCCATACAGATACTGTGCGAACTTTTTGCATGCCCACACACACGCCAGGCACTCTTTCTCAATCTGAGCATATCTAGCCTCAGCATTTGTCAATGTGCGCGAACAGTATGCCACAGGTAAGAGTTTATCTCCCTGTTGTTGCATTAGTACTCCACCCAAACCATAACTGCTGGCATCTGCACTGACCACAGTTGGCTTGTTTACATCATAGAATGCCAAGACATGCAGGTGCTTGTGACATGTCCTTGACCTTTAAAAACGCCTGCTCTTGTGTGTGACTCCACTGGAAAGTTGTGTCAGACTTCAGTAGATCAGATATCGGCTTTATAACCGTCCACAGCTCTGGCAAATATCTTCCCAAGTAATTGACCATGCCTATAAACCGTCTAACACCTGCTACATCTCGTGGTGCGGCGATATTCACGACTGCTTTTACTTTTCCTGGGTCTGAGCTTATCCTTTTTTCTGAGATATGATGACCAAAGTACGTTAGCTCTGGCTGTCGGAACTTGCATTTCTCCCTGTTGAGTTTCAGTCCCGATCCACGTATCCGATCCAAGACATTCTTAAGTCGTCGGTCATGTTCTTCGAGTGTGTTCCCATGCACTAATATGTCATCCATCATCGCAATAGCACCATCCTGTCCTTGCAGCAGCTCCGTCATCTTACGTTGGAACACCTCTGGTGCTGATGTAATCCCGAATGGGACACGGCGGAAACAGTACCGCCCAAACGATGTGATGAATGTGGTGTATCTTGAACTCTCAGGGTCTAGTGGCATTTAATAAAACCCACTCGACGCATCCAACTTCGAAAACACACGTGCTCCTACCAGCTTAGGGATTACCTCATTGAAAGTTGGCAGTATGAATCGCTTCCGACGCATCGATTCATTCCGTTTCTTCAAATCCACGCAGATGCGTATATTCTCATTGCGTTTAACAACAGGAACCATAGGGACGTACCAGTCTGTCGGCTCAGTAACTGGTTTGATGACCCCAACGCTCGCCATATATTCCAGCTCCTCCTTGACCTTGGACAGTATCGAAAATGGCACTCTGCGGGCAGTGTTAATACTGTATGAAACAGCATTTTTCTTTAGCTGTATTTTTACCGGGTTGCACTTTAACAAACCAATATCTCCAAACAATGTTCCATCTATCTCGTTGACTCGCTTCACTAGGCCCATTTGTGATGCCACCTGTCGACCTAACAGATTATTAACCTGTGGGCCCGTAAGTACGTCTACTGGAAAGTTGTACATTTTTCCTTTATGGCTTGTCTGCATCACAAACTGTCCCTTACATGTTAGTGTTCCTCCTGGACTGGACAGTATGGTGTTTGTCGGCTTCAATACCGGTCTGTTATGCAAGCCACTGTACGTTCTTGCTGACGGTGATGTCTGCCCCAGTATCTATTTTGAAATCCACCGATTTGCCGGCAATTTCCAGTTGCACTTGCCATGGGTCATCCCGACCCTGAGTGATTGATCCTATGAATAGCCTATCATAGCTCTCACTCGTACCACTGTCATTCGCATGTCGTGACGTCACCTCATTCGCCTGTTTTGTCCTACAGACAGCTTGAAAATGTCTCCTTACAAGTAATCTTTTTACACTTCCTGCAGCGCTTGTCCTTCGCTGGGCAGCTGTCACCCCGACCATGGCTCGACCCACACCTGGTACATGATGTACACATACTGTGTTGGTTACTCCTGTTTCCATAGTAACCCTGCCTGGTGACTCCATATGCATTCTTCTCACCGTAGTAGCGCTTACTCTGCTGCTGAAACTTTGGCTTAAATGGTCGTACCACTTCTTCCAGATCTCTAGCTTCATGGCCTTGACCCGTTACTTGTGCCTTCACCTGCTCTGTCTGTCTAGTTATTTCGATGGCTCTTGCAAGGGTCAGATCAGGGGTCAGTTGTAACTTCTCTGACAGACTTTTATCAGTAATGCCAATTACTAACCTGTCCCTGATGTTCTCCTCTTTGGCCGTGCCAAACTCACAATGTTCTGCCAGCTCATATAGACTGCGTATGAAACATTCTGCCGTCTCCCTAGCCTGTTGTCCTCGCAGGTGGAATTGTGCACGTTCGTGAATTATGTTCCGACGTGGCACAAAGTGTTCATCAAATTTCGTGAGCACCAATTAAGTCAAACCTTTGCTTGTCTGTTTCACTTTCAAACTCAAATGTGTTGAATATGTGCTCTGCGTCTCCGCCCATACAGTAGATGAGGCAGCATATTTGCACATCACTATCTTCCTTGTTCAACTTCGACGCAATTCTGTATCGGCTGTATCTCTGCCGCCACTCGGGCCATACTGCTGGCCGCGAGAAATCAAAAGCCTCTGGAGGGTTTAGCTTTGCCATAGCGTCGTGCCAGCTTGCTTTTTAACGATCACTGTATGTCCATGTTTACTTCTGAACCATGTCGCGTTCAGGATACCACGAACTATATCTTTTAATGAACAGAACACATTTATTTAAAAAGCCGCACAATAACACAACAAGCTCACCAAGACACAGATCATGAATCCCAAGTCGGTTTCAGTTTTGATTCTAAGAACCTTTTCGGTTGGCTCTAACACTATATTACTCATATAGTACCGAATAGTATCGTGACATTTATTACCTATTAATTGCCCAATTATTGCTTACCTAGTGTCCAGTTATTGCTTGTTTATTTTCTATGTCATGTAATATTTATGCATTGCCTATGTTTATATATTGTGTTTGCACTGCCGTATTTTCTCTTGCTTTAATCCGGATTTATTACGTATACGTTATACGTTATTCATTACAGTTTTATTTACTGCTTATACGTTTGCTCTTTTCACTGCTGTTACCATAAATTTTGTCTTCACCTGCGCTTCAATTTTGTTTTGCAAACCGTTACATTTCGCGCAAACTTTTCTGGTATGTCTGCGTTACATGTTATTGTTGTTACTGCACGGTATTATTCTTATTCTTATTATTATTATTATGCTTCCTTGCTTTTCTCATGCTGATGGTCATCTTGTTTCCAAATTTTACTGTTCTAAAGACCAGGCATTTCTTACATTCCCCTAGTCACTGCTAACGGCTACATCTTTTACCTACCTATGCTACCTCTTCAGTCATCACTTTTCTGGAGTCACATCATATTTGACTAAAGTAATACCATTTTCTATAATTGCTGCAAATGACATTACCGTTGCTCTCCACACGGAATTTTACACCCCACTTTACTAGAGCAGTCGGAACTGCATTGACGACGGGTCATCGTCTTTCCCCAGCTTGGGGGAAAATGTAGCAACGCTAATGGCATCCCACCACTACCAGCCGCATTAACACACCAGTACACACCCGGGCTAATCTTACACCACACCAGCTGGCTAAAGGTGGCATATAACAGTAAGCGTCCGCGATTGTTCATCGTTGCACTATTTTGTCTCTAGAAAAATGCCTTTTTAGCATTTTTTTTCGCCGAAATTCGGCACTAGAGTGCAATAATTAGCATTATGCACGCAAGTTGGATGCCTCGTGGACGTGAGAAAGCATTAGAAGTAAAATTATTTTTGTTGTGTATTCTGAATTCCGTCAGGGTGCGTAGTCACAGCGACCGGTTGGTGTTTTTTGTGTATAAATGTGTTCAGACAACTTTGCAGAAATTCGCATCATAGAGCTGGCAAAAGTTTCGAGGGAGCATAGAGCATGAATCTGTAGTTATTTAACTGAATAAAGTGTATGTTTTGTAAGTGCAGTAACAGTGTGAGTATTTTTAATTAATTTCTGTTCGATGCTTATTCAGGCCTGCAGCCTATGGACGGCCTCTACTGTTGTTCAACACCTTAAAGCCACCTGGTAAGAAGTGCGCTTCTGCCAAGGAAGTCGAATAATTGAGTTTTATGTTAATGAAAATCTGTTATGCAAGTGCTCTAGCATGATTTTTAGTCACATGCATGTTCAAATAACATTTATACATGTTTTATGTAAACATGTACATATCCGTGTACATATTTACATGTATTTACATAAAATACACTAATTTTACACACATTTGGTGTCAAAAAATAGATAATTATCTTCGTTTTACTCTATTGTCGCACTACTAACCCTAACAGTGTAAAAATATCTTAACTTTAATGCTTGCAATTTACCCTAACCCTCGTTCTAACACTACGCATAACCGCATGGAGCGAACATTAATTTCCATGGATTTTTGTGTTTTGGGGGGCTCATTTCAAAGAGTCATATCTCAGCTTCTGGAGTCCTGCCATATTTGAAATTCGGTGGTCATATAACAAAAAGGCTCTGAATTATTCATTTAAAATTTCAAGTCGATACGTCTCTCCTCTGCTTCTTTAAGGTGGCATATAACAGTAAGCGTCCGCGATTGTTTACCGTTGCACTATTTTGTCTCTAGAAAGGCCTTTTTGGCATTTTTTTTCGCCGAAATTCGGCACTAGAGTGCAATAATTAGCATTATGCACGCAAGTTGGATGCCTCGCGGACGTCGAGAAAGCATTAGAAGTAAAATTATTTTTGTTGTGTATATTTGTGACATTCCGTCAGGTGGCGTAGTCACAGCGACCGGTTGGTGTTTTTTGTGTATGAAATAAGTTCAGACAACTTTGCAGAAATTCGCATCATAGAGCTGGCAAGTTTCAAGGGGAG